TGACGAACGCGTCGTTTTCTCCAAAAGACTTGAGTTAACAATAGAATGTTAATAATGGTAATCAAAAGAACGGGAATGAGAGTCGTTAGAATCCAATCAATAGTTGCCCAAATTTTGCTACTTTGATAGCATGCACCACCACATACGAAAAAGTTATAATTGAAACCTATTCCAGGTGGGCACATATAGAAGAGAAGAAGCGCTGCATACCAGACAATTGGAAATGTGATAGCAAATACAAGTGGAATATAATGAATGAGTTGACGGCGCAAAACAGTTCGATGAAAGTAACGTGACCAAAAAATAAGAATGTATCTTTCAAGTGATGCAGCAATCATCAGATAAAGTGAAATGCCTGAGAGAGTATAATTGAGAAAGATCCAATAGAAGCAAAAAGAATGTGTGGCCAATCGTACATAACCGACGAAGAAAAAAGCGAGCGTAATGGGTAGTTCATTAGAAGTAGAGCAAAAGTTACATATAGATAAGAGAATGAAAGCATGATTCTGCCATCGTTGTAATTCACGTTCGCGTATAAAGCAGAAGAAGATGAACAATGAACAGAGAACAGATGGAATTTCGAATGTGAGAAGTATGCCGAATTTGACCAAACGTGTCACCAGTGTTTCGAGCCGAACAACTGAAGTCTCAGTCGTGCTGTTGTTTACAGTTGTATTGTCCATGAGTGACTCCTATGTAGCTATGATTTGTAAGCACCTACTAGTTACTTTAAATGGATCAAACAGTAGATAAGAGAAAGAATATTCTTCCTTGCTTCTGTAAGGATCGTACTGTTTCATTCGAAAAGATATCGTGCTGTAAGGAATGCGTTTTGGAGTAAATAACGGGAATGCTCATAATGATCGTTTTCTTTTCATAAATTCCTATTCTTTAAACGGAGAAGTAAATATTTCTAGAAAATCTCTTGAAACTACATACGTTATGAAAAAAAAGGAAAAATACAAAGTGATTCGCAAAAGCCTACGCGTTGTTTAAACGCTAGATTAATGATCAACACTCAAGATCAGTTTTTGCCAATATCTAATCGAATTAATAAATAGTTTTCATTGTTTTTACGAGAAGTCGCCTGTTTAATTTCTAAGAAGACAAAATTTTTATTTAAATAAATGATAAATTCGTGTAGTTATAATCTATCAATAGAAATATTTCATGAAATTTTCAAACTTTTATTTTTTTTAAAGTTTGAAAATTTTATGAAATATTGCGATTTATATGTTATGTTTTTAAAAATGGACGATGTTTATTTATTTTGATTAACATTTCGACTTGCTCGAAATCAAATATTTCTGATTTTCAAAAACAAAATGAAAACTACTAATTGATTCGATCGGACATTGGCAAAAAATTGTTTGGGAGCTCTGTTCTTACACATTTATTTCTTTGCGTACTTCTTTATACTTTTCGAATATGGTTAAAATTTGGTCGATTTCTTATGGATGTGAAGTTATCGAACAATCTTCATTGAATGAAAATGCCATTTGGATTCTTATTCTTTCTTTTTTTCTTTTCTTCTCTTTCTAACTTTATTTCTTAGTTTCTGCATTTTTTTTATCTTTCACATGAATAAAGACTAATTATTAAATGATAAACGTATGAGTTATTGTGATATACGTTAAATACATTTGTCTAATAAATAATAAATTACAGTTTTATTCTCTTTCCACCTGCCCATGCAGACAAGTAGCAATAAAATGCGTTATAATGCATCAAATATCTAATGTGTTTCAACACGTAAGAAACGCATTAAAACAATTCATGGAATTTTTAATGGTTTAACATACTGAGAAATACAAATGAAAAAAATATACAGCTATATGGTGTTATTTTCGTCGGATATTTCCAGACATTAATAGGGCGCTCAATATTTTTACGGGCTCATAATAACTCTATACGTTAAGATACTTTGAGAGATTACCATGATGATTTTTTTTAGCTGCGTCTGCGTGGTTTCGATTCTGTAACACTATCATATTGATTAGATGTTATTCTTTGTTAATCTATTTCAAATTGTACCACTCAAGTTTTCTTGTAATTCATTTAATTTTCAAGTTTGAATATAGAAAAATTCTTATTGCATAATTTTGAATAGATTCTCAGATAATAAATCGAAATTTAGAATTGGTGTTTTATCTCTATACAGATTTCTTATTTTGAAAGCTCGAATGTCTAGCAACATGTGAACTTGAGGAAGGAAGTAACTAACATATAGATAAGATTCCATTTATATCTATACTATGTTTAAGACTAATCGATATGTGCATAGAAAAGACTAACAGTAATACACTATCATTGTTCATTTTCTAGTTATTTTTGATACTGTGAGCTGGCGAAGTTTACAGGTGAAGAATATTTACTCTCTTTTCTTAATATTAAAAGTAAAGAATGAATATCTGACATAGTTGATTTATTACAAATATTACTCGCTCATGACATTTGAGATAAGGAGATAAATGTCTCTTACTAAAGATACAGATGAAGGCGCAATCCTTTAAGTGCATGAAAAAAATATCTCAAAAGAGAAACTATCAATTAAAATGACAAGCAAAGCATGAAGAAAAAAAATTAAATATGGATAGATGAGAAAAAGAGATATGAAAAGAATATGAAACGACATCAAAGAATAAAAAAAACCATGGAAGCGTCAAAAGAAATAATTCATAAATCAAAAAAATTAAAAAAAAAAGTCGATTGTTAAAACTTCGCAAAAAAACGTTTTAACATATATGTCAATAATTCATAGGACTTGCATATAAATTAAAATTAATAATTATAAGTAATGCAGTTTTTTATTTCTTATTTTTTATTTATATGAATTATACATTGCCCAGTCAGACAAGCGTTGCAAAAAACGACGTTTTTACGCGTAAAAAACGCACATTTTAATGTTTTATGCAATTTGATTTTTTTTGGGAAAGTAAAGGAAGTTTGTGAATGTTCACGTTGTGGAAATCATTTGATTCGAAGAAAAAACCCGTTTTTTTCAACTCTTGTCTGACTGGGCAAGATTGAATAGTGATATCAAGCGCTATCTCGAAGCATTTGTTGCAGGTCATTAGGTAATTATTACCTAGTAAACAGCGCGTTAATTTAAAAAGAAAGCTTGAAACTTTTCAAGGAATCTCTAATAGTATCCTCTACTAATTTCATTAGTCGAAAGAAATGTATTAGTCGTTTTTTGCCAAGTTTGTTAATAACTTTTTTACATTTTTAATCCTAAAACGAAATCAGTGGTTGCTGTCTTTAGAAATTCTAGTTGAATTTATTTGTTCATTAACTAATATTGGTATTCAAGAAAGTTCATCAAAATTAATTGTTCAATATGAATTAAATGAATCTGTTCATTTTAAATGATTTCAGTTTTTTCAATACAATTAACATCTTTTACTAATGAACAATCGTTTAATTATTAGAAATATTTAAATTCAGGATCAAAGAACGTATACAAGTCGTTATTCCTTACAACATATCGACTCATCAAGTAAAGTACATGTTAATCAATTACCATTAGCTGTTGTACAAGATTTTAATGATGAGTATTTGGTATATGAAAATGACGCGTGACTATTGCGTATTGAACTATATAAAATAAATTTCTTAAAATCGTATAGGTTTTGTCGTTTATAGTGTGGTTCACGGACTCATACAGTACACAACTAAAATCGTACAAAGAGGTATGTTTTCTCCACTGCTGTTTATAGTTATCAACTGAACAATAACAAGTCACTATGCGAACCCTGAATCTATCATAGAAGATTATGACAATGGAGTTGAAAATTTTCAACGAAAACTCACTATGGACTAAAAGATATCTAAAGATGTTGTCAATAATACTTTCCAATAAAATTAAGAATATGAGAAGGTCTTTGCGTCAAATGTCAGTCAAAACATCAAGTGAAAGTTTCAACATGACGACAGTCACCAGCTCGTCAACAAACTCGAGACGAAATTCGTTAATATTCACCCTGACTGTAAGATTGCTCAGCAGAGCTTAATCACATAGGATGTGGCGTTTTGTTGAGTGTGCATGGAAGAAGACCTATATCCATATTGTTTTGAAGTAGTATGTGAATTGATATTAATTATCATTATAAAAGTCATCTAGGTAACAATAATTAAAATCGTTTCTTTTTCACAAGACAATCATTCAGATTTTCAAGATATTATATTAACTAAGCGATTTCGAACGAATTCTTCTTGTTTCAAAAATATTTACTGAGAATTCGACCAAACAAGTCATCAATGATTGTTTAAGAATGTGTCGTAAAATTTGTTCATGAATTCGACGTTTAATCTTTTCAAATTTGATAATTCGTGTCCTCGTTTGATTATCTTTCGTTGTGATGTTCTTCTTCATTGATTGAAAATATGACAGGTAATCACCGTATTTTTTTCGAATGTCACTTGAAAAAAGAATTTCAGTGTAACCATATTGTTCTTTTTTCTAATTTATTCCAACGATTTAAGACTCTCAAGATGATATTCATTTGATGTCCTGCTATGTGATGTCGTCACTAGTTTTGATGGCTTGATGATTTTTGAGAATATCAATGTGTTCAGAAGACTAAATTTATCCTTGATAAACTCTGACACCTGTCATATTAAATGCATCTTATGGTGATGAATCACTTTGACCAAGCCACTCATTGGGTACGAGAGGAAAGGGACTGACTAAAAAATCGTACTCATTGCTCTGATATTGAAAGATGTAGTTCTTCATTAAGTTGACTATTTCAAATCGAACAAAAGATGGCTATTCAAGGATTTAAAACGGTATTAAGTAAGTAAACTTGATTTTCAAATTCGCACTGAATATCAATGCCCTTTTTCAGTCGATCGATAGAGTGACATCCGATTTCTTGTCTATAATATAAACAATTTCGATCGGATAAAATGTCGATTTTGTACGATGAAAAAGTTTCTGAAACTGAGAGCAATTTCAAGAAAATATTTTTCAAACTGAATATATTTCAATAGTTTATATGAAATCTGAATGTGTTCTAGTAATTGGAGCATCCAGTGGAATCGACTATCATTTAGCACAATATTTTGCACGTGATCATCATGGTGTGATTCTTGTTTCTCATACTCAATCTGATCTTGAACAAGTTGCACAAGAATTCAAAACAAAATTCAACTGTCTTCAAGTGACAGTAATTGCAAAAGATCTTTCGAAACTTGACTCATCTAAGGAATTATACGATGAGATCAAACAAAAATATCAATTACCTATTGATTTTTTAGTGAACAATGCTGGAATAGGTTTTCGTGGTCAAATCTGAGAAACACCCATTCAGAAAGATCTCGAAATAATCCAACTCAATATCATTTCCATGGTTGAACTTACCAAATTAGTTTTATCAGAAATGATTCAAGGAAATGAAGGACGGATATTGATGCTTGGCAGTCTCGCTGCATTTCAACCAATTCCTGTCATAGCATCTTATTGTGGTACAAAAGCATTCGTTACCAATTATACACATTCACTCATCAATAAACTGAGAGATACCAAAGTCACTGATACATTACTTGTTCCAGAAGAGACTAATACGGTTATTATTCATTTTTTTCATTGCTTCAGTCATTTTTCGCCGTCGAAAGCACATACATTTCCATAGACATATTTCGTCTAGTTCTTAACGAGAATTTTAAAAGAGACTTTTTGAATGAACGATTTGACACAATCGAACTATCCTTTAGGACTTCTTCAATAAGGCTGGTGCAAGTGATAGTAAAGCAAATCATATGGAATCAGCTGATGACCCACGCCATGTGGCTCAACGAGACTATGAAGCAATGATCAAAGGTGAACATCGACCTTATGGGTCGACCAAAGTCAAACTAATGGTTGATGTTGGTCAAATTATTCTAAATGAAATTATCACAGACGTTACACGAAGACTTATCGAAAAAGCCCAATTAATAGTCGATTTTTGAGTCAATTATTTAAGCCAGCAGGATGTGGGTGTAGGTGTGAGTGTTAAGAAAAGATGGCATCCACACTCACACCCTCACCGACATCCACCCACACCCCCACCTGCATCCTCAAGAAAGTCAGCAAACAGAACAAGACGGAGTGGACGGGTAAGCAATCTATCGGTTGGCGCGCACTTGGAACAAGAAGAAAAACTATAACAACAGATTAGTTACATTAATCGAATACTGAGAATAGAATTAATTCTACAGTCTTGCTTTTGCAGCTGCTTCTTGAGCTCTTCATCGAACAAACTATCCCATAGGTTACTATAGAAATGAGAAAAATTAAGTAAATTAGCATCACAGTGGTTTGTGTTCGTCAATAGTGCCTCACCTTATTAATAACCTCTTGCAATGAATCAATCACGAAAATTAGAGGTGATTTAAAGAACGAACAAAACGTAGTCATGATGATGATGATGTGTTGCTTGCCTAACTCTTCTGACAGATGGTCTTCATCCCATCATGAATCGATAAGTGATAGCATAAGACGAAATAAAAGCAGTAAGACGAGTAGAGTGCAAAAGAAATGAAAACCATGTGGGCCATATGCGTCTTGTTATGGGTGATCCTCAAGTAGGTGATATACTTTAGTGCTCTTACAAGAGAACGTTCATGTTGTCCGATCCTATCCAAGTTGAACTATTCCCATCAATTTTAGAGAAAAACCACTTGACCGAATTTGAAGTTTAAATTTTACTGCAAGAAAGTTCGAGTAAGAACAAGTTCGCTTGCCTTGAGGTACCATATTTTTCAAGAGCATTTAATTCGAATCTATATCTTGTCATTCTAGAAAAAGCCTTACTATGATTCTACGTAGATGCACCAAACTTAGATAACTTGGATCTCAAGTATTTTGTTTTCTTTCCAGCTAAATACCATTTTCGACGAAGCTAGATAGTTAAAATCAAAAAGAGATCTTCCAGAAAAATAGATACGACTTTAAGAATTTACAACTCCATGAATTCCTCCATTATTCGATTCAATTTTTGATTTGTCTGATTGCATAAGATTGAAATTAATCTAACGATCAAAGTACAATGAAAATGAACTAATTTGGTGCTTCTAGAAATGAATTGAATCAAATCAAAATCGAGAAGGTCGGGGTCCGAATCTTTTTTTTTGCACTTTTTCATAGTCCATTTGTGAAGGAAGTAGCATTTTGCAAGGTGTCGGACACGTGAAAATTATTGCTCGTTGGAATGATAAAATATCATGATTATTTTTTTAGTATTTCTGGTACGTTTCTGCTTCCGCGATACTTTCAGTAGTTCATCTCTCTTTAAGAAGTAGATCGAGTCGACGGACAGACTTGTCAAGGTTCCTCTCAATATGATCAATGTTCGTTGAATAGTGCATGCGGTTGTCTTCCTTTAACAGCCACTGACAATGATGGGATTTGTGCATACCTTTATCTCACATGTTCGAAGTTGATTTCATGTGACGGCAATAATCGAACGTGTTATCAACCTGATCATGTGTGTGTGAAGCATCCCCGATGTAATAGTCATCATTCACTCTGCTATCCAATAAATATGGCCACAAAAGCGATTTGTCCGCAGTTGCCATCACCAACGACAAGTAAGCCATGAAAACGAAGGATTTATCATGTTGGTTTTCTCATTGCCTAGCGTCACCAAGTTCACACGATGGTATTTGTGCGAATGCGACGTGGAACAAGATTGGTACTATTGTGGCCGGAGGAAATGGACAAGGATCTGGATTGAACCAACTGAACAAGCCATCGGGATTGTTTGTAGATGACGATGATGCCGTCTATATTGTGGATGGCATGAACGACAGAGTAGTAAAATGGAGGCCTGGAGATTCGAGTGGCCAAGTGGTTGCTGGTGGAAATGGACCAGGTAATCACACTGATCAGCTAGATGATGCATCAAGTATTGTTGTTGACAAGAATGGGACCATGTTTATTTGCGATTCTCGAAATACTCGAGTACTACAATGGGTCAAGGGCGAAAATCAGGCACAAATAATCGTTGATAATATACTATGCTGGGGACTGGCAATGGACTACGAAGGTTCATTGTATGTTGCTGATGCTCATGAACATGAAATAAAGAAGTGGCCCGATAATCAAATAGTTGCAGGTGGAAACGGAGAAGGAGCTGCTCTGAATCAACTTCGATTCTTCGCTCATATATTTGTCGATCGGGATAAATCAGTTTACGTTGCCGACGATGGTAATCATCGAGTGATGAAATGGATTGTGGGTGCCAAAGAAGGTATTGTTGTGGCTGGTGGTAATGGACAAGGAGATCACATGGATCAGTTGAGTGATCCTCAGTCAATGATCGTTGATCAATTGGGCACTGTCTATGTGGCAGACTGGGGCAATCACAGAATTATGCGTTGGTTCAACGGCTCCAAGTCTGGTAGTGTCATCATCGATGATCGGAGTGAGGCAAATCCGCTAGAACTGCCGATCGATTTGACATTTGATCGACACGGAAACTTATATGTAGTCGATTATTATAGCCATTACGTTAAAATGTACGCTATTGATAAGACTTCTTGTTCTACGGATACATTTTAGAAATTCCTTGACATTGACTGATTATCAATTTATCTCTATTCTCTTCATTTAGTTTATGATTACATCATGAACTCAGCTTTCCTGTAGGAAGGGTGTGGGTGTGGATGTGGGTATAAGTGTAGGTGTGGATGGGTGTGAGTTGGTTGTTAGTGTGGTATTAAGCCTGTTAAATCATACCCACACTCACTCTCAACTATTTCGTCATGTTCGCTCTGAATCGAGCACTTACAGTACGCAACACAATGAATACCATAAACCACGTGTCGAATATGCTGTATTTTTGTCATACCTGCTGAACACAGGACTGCCAGGATATATTTTCGGTGTATGAGTACAACATGATTGCAGAGACGCATTGTTCTGAATTCAATATAAATGAATGAAAAATCTAGAAAATAATATGTTTTCTGGGCTTGAAAACCGGATTTTATTCATAAAATTTAAAAAACTGATTAGATTTGAAGCGCACAATCGAATCGGTAGGTGCCAATATTTCCAACACCTGCAATCAGAAGATATTCTCTGTGCACATGCACTGTAGCGAAAGCGTTCGTATTTGGTTCACTTTCGAGAATCGCAGATAATGTTAAATGATGGATATTTTTGTGATCACGAAAGTAACCACCTTCATGATCGTGTCCGGCAATGTAAGCAACAACTGTCATGTCAAATTTCCAGAAAAGTTCCAAGACTTCTTCGTAATTCCATAAAAGAGGAAGACCATCAGCAACGATCGGATGAGTTGGAATGTGACCTTGAATGAGAAAGAAAGAGTTGCGGCTCTTCTCTTGGAGATAAACTGCGCGCGTTCAAAATTTTGCAACATCCCATACTTTGTATATATCTCAACATGAGTAAATCATAAAACACCAAGCTTTTTAAAAGATACAACGTTGGATTCCCGACAAAAACAAGCAAATAAGTCCCGTTGACCTGTTCGGATGAATTTTTATGAGTTTGAAAGTGAACTTTATACGATAGTGCCATATCCCACTACTCTCAAGGCAACAAAAATCAAAGAAATACTGACCAAATGGTATATATCTCAGCACGAAGAAATCATAGAAGCTTGAATTGTTTTCAAAAGTTGCGCCGTTGAATTTTCTACAATATTTGACTCAAAACTTTCTCTTGAATTGTTCTGGTGGATTTTTAGATGATAAAAAGTGAAAATCTTCACGATGCCGCTGTTTCCCAATTTAAAAATGGAAAAAAGCTCCAGAAATATGTCAAGTATACTAGCAAATAAGCTTCATCGTATTACGATTCATCGCTGTATACAGTGATATAATCGAATTGATTCTATTCGTGCGCGCATATAGATAGGAAGAAGACGAATTGAGAGAACAAAACGATTATTCAGAATCCATGACTGATGCTCCCCGGACAATTGCTCTCCAGTGACAGTTGCTCCCGCGACATTTGCTCTCGTGACATTTGCCCCCCAAGGACATTTGCTCCCCAAGGACAATTGCTCCCCGGACACTTGCTCTCCTATGACAATTGCTCCCTGGATATTTGCTCCCCTATGACATTTGCTCCCCGGACATTTGCTTTCCAGTGACAACATGAAATAATTTTTTTATGAATTATAAGAACAATGTATAGTTTGATTAAGTCAATACATGACTACAACAATAGCAAAAGAGAGATTTTATTGATGATATAAATAATTGAAATATTATATGATTAGAAATAATAGCAGCAAAAGAACGACAGAAATACTAGTTTTAGAAAAAAGTGTTTGAGTACATGTATAATTTAAATCTAATATCAATCATTAATTTTAAGACTAATAAGAAAATGTAAATTAAGAATCTTTTAATGCAATATTTTGAGCTAGAGCCATTACTTTTTCAAAGTTTGTTGTTGTTGGTTCATTTAATAAATTCAAAATACGTGTTTCTCGACGAATCTGTTCACGTCTTCGTGCTTGTCTAACACCAACTTCTGCTTGAATAATTTGAGCATCAACATAACATTGTTCTTTCTTTAAACCTTTTAAAAATTTCCAAATATTTGGATAATGTTCCATCTAAGTATATATAATACGCATTTTTTAACATTTTTAATTGTTTTTTGGTTGAAAATATTAATATTCGTTGATCAATTGGACCAGAATCGAATTGTAAAAATGTTCGACCACGAGCTGTTTTTATATATTGTGTATCAATAACAAGCGAATCGCGATTTACTGGTAATGATAATGGGTTTTGATGTCTTTGACGAATTCGTTGAACAGTACGTTTAACGTGCTGTAAATTTGGTAGTGTTGAAATTGCATGATCAGATAATCTTGATACACAATCAGCCACAATATCATGCGTTGAATGACTAGTTTGTTTAGCTGCATCATTCATTTTTGTACGTGATGCAATTACTTCACCTGGTATATGAGATGGTTCATGGTTATGTTCACCAACTGTAAGTACAACTTCACCATCAATTGTATGAAGTCGACTGCGACATTGATTATGACGATAATTACGACAGCACCATATTATTTTGTTGTTATTTGATTTTTTATTAATAATATATATATAACCTTGATGTTCAAGTATTGGTTTTCCTCTAGAAGTTTCCATCATGTAATAAATAAATATTTATTATGTAGAAAAAACGTTGATATGATTTCTTTTAGAAATGTTGAAAAATAAATTTAAAAAAAATGTTGTCGAAATAAATACACAAATTCGGAGATCAAGCTAATTGAAGAGATTAATTAATTAGAAGTTTAAGCTTGTCAACACGCTAGACACATTTTATTGGATTATCTTTGTTTTTTATGTATTTAATTAATTAGTTGTAGTGCATTTGTGTACGATTAGAAAAAAAATTTAAAGAAAATATAAAAACAGAACACTCTCATTTGTTGTTTCTTATTTATGTGATAATTCCTTTCATAATCTAGAGTATTTTCCTATTTTATTTGTTCTATGTTCTTCATATATTCATAGATCCATGTTACCATCTTTTGAAGTTCCGATAAAACTGCATTAAAATTAGCTATATATTTAAAATCAATTCGTGAGTTTTCAGGTATCATAGATTCTGCACGAATTTCTAATCATCTCATTCTCTTCATAATCTTACCGATTTTGAAGTGTTTAAAAATTATATTGAATTTGTCAACAAAAAAATCGTAGCTTAAGGCCTATTGAAATTGAGGAGAAAATGTAACAGGGAAGCAAGTGTCCAGGGAACAAATGTTATAGGAGAGCAAATGTCATAGGGGAGCAAATATCCAGGGAGCAATTGTCATAGGAGAGCAAGTGCCCGGAGAGCAATTGTCCATGGGGAGCAAATGTCCTTGGGGGGCAAATGTCACGAGAGCAAATGTCGCGGGAGCAACTGTCACTGGAGAGCAATTGTCCGGGGAGCAATTGTCGCGGGAGCAATTGTCCGGGGAGCATCATTCGTGTTACCGATTATTCAATCCACAAAGGTTATTTTTAACTTTATGAGACATCATCAGAACAACTAAAGGGAATCTTTTAAAATGTTGTAGAGAATCTAATGGTGCATCTTTTGAAAAAAAAAATGCAAGGTTTTATGATTCGTTGGAGCAAAGATCAATGCAAAATAATCAATGTTGCTTTGATTTTTGTTGACTCCAGAATAGTGGGATATAGCATTATCGTGCAATAGTTCACTTTCAACCTCATAGAAAATCATCTGAACAAGTCAACGGAATTTTTTCGCTTCTATTTTAGTAGAGAATTTGACGGCACATCTTTACAAAAATACAGGTTCTTTAATTTATTCATGCTGATGAGGGAACATCTCGAGGCGTTCCATCACTTTTGAGCTCCCATTTCGCGAATAGGTAGATGACTGCGAGACTAGCATAGGTCAAAGTGGATTCGTGCGCATGGAGCTTCGTTCTTAAGATATCGAGTTTTTACAACGTCTTTCAACGAACCCCTGTGGGCTCCTCAGGTCACCTTGCAAATGGGTTTTCGAGTTTTGGCTTGAAACTTTTCGTAACGGATACCCTTGACGAGACTACCTTATGACGATGGTTTCGCACTTTTCAGTTGCCTCTATTGCCAGATATGTGAATAAGAACAAAATGCGTTTTGTCCCATACTAGATTTTGCAATATTCATATATGATGATACAAATAACTGGAAGGTTTGAAATCTTCGCCATAAACTACCGAAGAAGACAAAAATTAGGGAAAACGCGTTGAAACGCTCAAAAGAGAACCCCGATTGTGAGCCATTAACGCATTTTTTGCGCAAATAGTCACTTTCAGATCGTGAAAAAGGCGAAAAACTCTCGTTTTTGAGCGTTAAAACGCGTTTTTACAAATTTTCGTCTGCTTGGGTGGTCTTGTTGAGGGCTTCAGTTGTGCAAAGTTTTCAAGTCAAAACTCGAAAATCGATTTTAAAGGTAATTTAGCCGAGGATGACATGGATCTGCTTAAAAATACAGTAAAATTCTATGTCTAAAGAAGAAGGTTCCACGCATACGAATCCTTTTAGGACTATACTAGCCTCGTAGTCACCTACCTGTGCGCAAAATAGGAGCTGAAAAGCGATGAGGCACCTCGAGTGGCTCCTTAGTGAGATATATGCAAAATATGCGATATTTCAAACATTTTGACGCACCCGATAGCAGCCACAATGGTATGAATGATCAGAAGAATCTCATTGAGGGCAAATATGACTCAAATTTCGCTCTCCTTTTTCACAATGAAACAAAAGAGTTTACAGATGAGTCCAATGCGACTCACCAATGACAATCACTTTTTCGTGCAGTTTCGTCGCTTGTGTCAATTGTTCCTGTAACCAATCGAGTTGCTTCGATGTTACTCCACCATTGAACTCAACAAATCGTCGTTGATCGCCATAAAGACCATCATAATCATTGCCATGTATATTAGGATTGCGTTTTTTCAAGAATTCTTTGGCCCGTATGTAGACTTCATCTGTTTTATCCACACCCAAAACGCTGAATTCGAACGTGTCTAATGCGATGACTCTCAAACCTGGACACACTTGAAATGTACCATAGTGTCCAGGAAAGATCTCTTTTGTATCGAATGAACACAGCGGTCCTGTGAGAAGTTCGGTTCGAGGAAAATTGTACAATTCGTGATTACCCCAAATATGATAGACACGACATGACGAAGGAAGTTTAGAAAACGGAGCAAGAATCGTATTCAGAGCAATTTGCGACTTGTTATCGGCTGCCGACGCACCATCGATCAAATCGCCTAATTGGAGCACAAAAGAGATATCGTGTTTATGTTCGATCCAATAGTCGCAAGCTTCATCAAGCAATTTCAATGCATTACGATAGCGTCTCAGACGAGTTTTTGAGTAATTGAGATGATCGTCTTTATCAGCATATTGAATATCGGAAACGAGACCAAATGAAACAATCGGTTTCATAGTTTCGCCATGATCTGTCGATGCCAAAGGCAGGGAACTAGCCACTGTTACATTCGAAATTGGTGCATCCAACATTGCCGACGATATCATCGGACATCTCGACTGATCATCTTCGGCGATGACAGTTGTGTCCATCTACAATAATCAAGAACTGCCGACAAAAATAAGCAATGGAACATAATTAGTAGATTTTTTTCTGAAAGATTAATTGCGAAGAAAAATATATGCAGCTGTTTAAACATGTACATATGAAAAAAAGTGAGTTGGCATGGCAGACATTGCGCAGGGATGTGAATGTACAGAAGAGACAAAAGAAGCAGTGAATTTGTCTCGCAGACAGAGAAAAAAGTTGCTTCTTGCAAGTACGGGTTCCCTAAACACGATGAGTGTAACAGTTTCGCACTGAACAGCAAAACACATCCCAGCGGTGCACAAGACACGAGAGACTCATTTATAAGGATACGAAGCAAAAATAGCAAACAAGACCAGGAAAAAGTGAAAGAAGCTCATTAGCGATATGTACGAACACAGGCCAAAAAGCCAGACGTAAGATCTTGTTAAATCAGATGAAATCATACGAAAAATCATCATCTCTCCTATATCTTACTCTAAACCGGATAATAACATTCTTGAAAGATCTTACGAACACATAGATTTTCCGATAAACTTATAGTGATATCTTCAAGAATATGTTTGTTCGACTTACAGTAAGATATTAGAGACGTGGATTTTTCGTACGAGTTTCCATCTGATCTTGTAAGATCAGACGTACGAACTTATAAGATCTTGCTATTTGATTGTTTGAAGTGGGACCGTTTGTTCTTCGAATATGGCATGGAGATATACCATCGTAAGAGTGAACCGTGTAAATCACCGTATTTTTTTTGCATATGGTCGTTTACGACCGTGCTTGTGTAACCTGCCATGTTTTCTATTACAACCGAATGTCTCGCAGTTACGACATAACTATGCTCGCACCGTGATCCGTCACTGCGAAAACTTGTGAAATACTTATGTGTAATTACGTAAAAAACTTCGTAATTACGATAAAAAAAATCGCAGTTGCTAAAAAAGAGACGACATGGATCAAGTGGAGGAATGGATTCGACACGCATCACAACCATGGGTATTTCATTTCTTGCTTTCTCAACTTCTATTCTGTGACTGAATGCATATACTTCTCATTAGATGATATTTTAAGCCAATCACATGTATGATAATCTTTTTCTTTTGCAATGAGTCAGTTATAGGAGAGTTGTAAACCATAAATAAAATAAAATTTTTCATTTAGACAAGCGAAGAAAAATATAAATTAATTATGGAGACATTGAAATTAAAACAATTTTTGCATGAGTTGTATTTGCCTGACCTCTGTTGACAGTGTGCTTTAAGTTTTCGAGAGCCATCATCTCTGCAGAGGGTGTAAGGTGTGGGTGGTAGTGAGTGTTGGCTGGCACAGGTTTGGAGAAGACCGACATCCTATCGTCACCATGACTACATTTTCTCTTTTGACTTTTGTTAGCCTTCATACAGTAACTAGTCGTCAGGTGAGCATTGCCCATATGAATCGAGATCTAAAATGAGCCATGTTTCCAATTCGCTTGTTGGTCACGAACATGTATACAAAGTGGTCACATATTAAATTACTTATTGTCAAGGGAGGTCTCTTTTCTTTCATCTATCTTTTTGAATCGTCTTGCTAGGTGAACTTCCGTTTCATCGAAAAATTATACTGTAATGAAAAAAGCAGGATCAAAGCAACTGGCTTAATTGCTTTGATTGTTTTAAAGAATTTGTTCTGTAAAGAAACTCATTAAGGGTGTTGTCGAGGATGTGGGTGTCGGTGTGGGGTCTGGACTATAGATGTGGGTATTCTGTTCGGTCAAATGTACATCCAGTCCCACACCCACAAATCCTAAATAACAAACATTAACATTAGAAGAATATCTTGAAAAAGCTATGGGATTAATTGGTATAAAAAATATTCATTTTTTTGCTCTATTTAGAATCATTCAGCATTATCTTTTAGTACGTTTAAAAAAAATCAAATAAAAAAAAAGTAACCTACTCTCTTCCTTTTCATTGTAATTTTATTTTTCGACAAAACGAGACCTAACCATCTTGCTACTGAAGGAGCGATTAATTTATCCTGTTTCCTATTTCTCCTCCCTTTTGATCTTTTTAAT